CTCACCAAATCTGAAATAATTGGATCTTAGAACGAAGGTTAACAGCTCTTCGATCTGCTCCACGCTTAAACCAAATGTGTCAACAGACTCGATGTGCTGCTGCAGGACTCTAGCAACCGCCTCCACCCCTTCAGCGATAGGGATACTTGGGTAAAGAGCGACCACGTCCATTGTAACGATGATCGTCCCCGCTGGGGCTTGTAGATCGGGATACACTTGCCGGATATCTTCCAGCGCTTCCAGCGTGTTTTTCAGATGTGCTGGGACATATCTCAGGCATTGGTTGAGTATGCGCTCCAGGACAATAGAAATATTGGTCACCGGGCTATCAACAGCTGACACAACTGGCCGAAGCAGTACCGTGGCTTTGTGGTCTTTAGGCAGGCCATACATCTCCGGAAACCTGTTGTCGCCAGTGAGTATGGCTTGGTACAGGTTCTTCTCTAGTGTACCACCACAGACGCGTTGAAGGATGGTGCGCGTTTGCTTCTCCCAATCATCGATGGTGACATTGACGGGTGTGAACTTTGTCTCATCTGACCGGATAGTCTCGGCCTTATCAAGGTACGTTGCCATCTTCATCGCCACAAACTTATTGCTCTTGTCGGACCTCTTGACGACCACGGAATCATCGTCGCGGAGGTTTGTAAGCCGCTCGCGGTCTGTTCGAGACATGTTAGGCCGGGGAGCTGACGCTGTTCAGTAGATATTCATGACCTCGCGCTTTAAACTGGCCAAGCCGAATTCTTCTTCCCTCGGCAGCTTCACAAACTATAATACAAAATAGCTTCATACATATATTATATGTATGAAGCTATTTTGTATATAGTTTGTTTTCTGATGATCGCTTAGTGCGTGAAACTCGGAGTAAAAACACTTTCTCTGTCCTCCTATTGTTTGAACCAGCTCTACCACTCGGTATTGAGCACTCTCTTGGACAGCCTGGAACCTCTCTGTTTTATAGTATGTTCCCATTCCGTTTTTGCTTTGGTGCAGCCCTGAGGTTGATTTGCTGATTTATTTCTTCCCTTCCTCTCTCCGTACTTCTGCCCCGCCCCTCTCTCATTCCTTCTGTCGTCCACATGTATCAAAGGAGGCGAAATCGCCTGTTTGTGGTGCGACGTTAAATAAACTTCTACAACAACAACAACAACAACCCTTGTACCGGTGAACTCTCGCGCTATTCAGCAATGCTCATGTCGCAACCAGCTTCAGCGAAGCTACGCTCTATCTTTTCTTGTCTCTTGGATTTCGCTGAACGGCCCATTGTGAAAAAAAATTGTTTTTGTAATTTTTGAATTTTCGAAAAAAATCTGCAAAAATATTTCCCGTGGACTCGATCGATCTAAATCTACAATTACGTAACCTATCGTGCGTAACGCTAGCGACAAACAACTAAATTTGGCAGAGAAATTCCAAATAGGTAACTACTCTACTCTATCTACGGACACAGTGTAGACTCTATGTGTAGACTCTACCCAGCTAGCAGCTAGCAGATATCCTAACAACAGACAGCAGTCAGTATGCGATCATGCACAAAACACGGACACAGAAAATGTTCTGAAAAAATGTTTGGCCACACAGGTTGGCGCCAATGCGTGACCTATGGACTGTGAACAATGCATGCAACAAGAAAACGACGAGCAGAAAGAAACACAATACAGAAAGTAAAAAATCGACGAAGAGAGTGGATGAGGATATGGTAGTTCACTTGCGTGGGCCTCCGTGGTTCTTCGTAGCAGACGATCTCCGAAGGCGTACACACTCCGCCAGCGATGTAGACGTGGACGTTTTCCGCTGCCACCAGTGTTAGCTCCCGGCTAAATGAAGTCCCCTCACACCAGAATACAGGGGTTTTATACTATTGAGTATGGAAAGTATTTCGACAAGAGTGTAGACAGCAAGGAGAATAGGACAACGACAACTCAAGACTCGACAGAACTGGAGACCCACTGGAGCATGCGCTCTTCTATAATATTATGTGAGTGGCTATCATTGCCAAGGGGACGAGCGGGAAATACGAATAGTGAGTATGTACAGGTCGTAGCTTAAAAACACCTATTACAATATCAACAGTAAACTTCGTTAGAGAGAGCTAGAGAGAGAGGGGGGGGGGGAGGGGGGGAGAGCCTAGAATAAAATTTGTTTCTTCTCTTCTGTCTGTTCTAAAACTAAAGTAAAAAAACAGGAAAGACAAGACAGATGTCAAGCGCGCACCAGTAGTAGGTAACGAGCGGGTTCTGTGCCAGGGGGCGCCCTGCCCCAAAAATGGGGTATTATTGAAAATATGTATTACATGTATATACATGTACATGTGGGTTCGAATCTCACTTTTTTTTTAGGGGCGGGGTTTTATGCCCTGCCCTACATCATGTTGCATTATGATGTCTAAAAATATCACCATTTCTAATTTCTATTTTATCTCACTTTTTTCAATTTTATATTACTCAGAACTCATAGTTTTGCAGTATTTTGACTTGTAATTTCAATTTCTCGGATCATTGTTTCCAGCGGGAGATGAGTGGATTGGTTAATTGAAAAACAACAAGTTATTCCGAATTCATCTATTACGAAAATAGCACATTAGAGCTTGCGGTAATGTAGGTTAAAGGGGAAGTCCGGTGAAAAATTTAAATTTCACAGTCCGTAGAGTTCGGGGCGCTGAGTCGAATGGTCTTTGTCCGAGGAGGCTGCGGCCTATGGTTCGTCAGATACGCCCAATCGAACATGTGCGGATTTGAGCGCGCCTCACCCAGATCCAGGTGATGACGTCACAGCGTGCAGCCAGGTGGCCACACCATCTAGATGTGTACAAAAACGGCCATATTCGGAGCGGGTTCGATTGGGGAACCGTTTGTCGCAGCTTCTTCGGACCAAGACCATTCGATTCAGTGTTACAAACACTACGTACCCTGTGATTTTCAGCTCGGTAAACCTCGAGGTTATACCGTATTTTAGCCGTTTCCGAGTTGGACTTTTTCCGTCGACATGCACTGGCCTCTATCTACGTAGCTACGGCTCTAGCAATGCGCTGCGTGCATGCTACCTGTAGTGTAGTCAACAAACTCATCACACACGGAACTACTCCCGCACTGCCATGCTGGGGTAGGTACAACAAGACTCGATCGAGTCACAAGACTCAGAAAACTAGTCAACACACGGACTTGTCATGTACTACACTCGTATCAGTCGTGTAGTCAGAGAACGAGCGTTTCTCCTTGCCGGTGGTGGTTGTGCTTTGAGAAAGAAAATTTTAGTTTTCCGCTCCCGCCTCATTATTAAATATGCTACAGCGATGAGTGCACAACAGTGACAAGTGACAAAACAGCGAACAGCTCCCGGACCTAGAACTTTCAGATCCCGTAGCGTTGCGAGCGAAGAGTCGTGCCCGTAGTTCAAAGAGCCTGCACTTTTCTCCAATTGAGTGTCCGAAATACGCCAAGTTCGCACCAAAACATCACCATGTGGCAGGTTACTAGAGTCTAAGCGAATCGGTATGGAACAACATTAATTTTAGTCTTAGAGCACTCGCATCACTCTTCTCCATTTTGGCGACTCTGCTCTCCAGGAGCTGATAATTATATCAGCTTCGTCTGCAATAGCTGCTGCTTCTTCATCAGTCGGAAACTCAGTAGCGCTCACTCTTGACGGGCCCGCGCGGCCATTTCTTCAGCTGAATACCGAGGTTCTCAGCCCCAGACCGAACTCATGAAGGTCAGCCATGGCTGCATCCTCACCCTCACAAGGAGTTACGTCTTCGGAGTCGCTTGCACCACCTACTATGGGTCGCCAAATCATTTGAAATAGCACTGACACTATTGCTTTCACGCACTCCTTTTAAACTAGCTGCACGCTATGACGTTGCGGAGGGTGTGGCGCGGCCGCATGACGTCATGGCGCAGCCCCCGAAACTCAGTTTTTCAAACGGAAATATCTCGAGAACGCTTTGTCGGGGACATGTGGGACCAACACCATTCGACTCAGCGGCCGAAACTCTACCAACCCTGAAATTTAAATTTTTCACCGGACTTCCCCTTTAACACATTGCACAAGCCACCACTTCACACGTGCTCCAGCGGCTTCCAAAGAGCCCGCAGATCCCACGCTATTCATTGATGCATGTCAAGTAACACGTACATGCACGCTGTGGGGGCATGTAACATGCGTACGCCGGAACTCACCTGAACTCGCCAGCCAACCAGCCATATGCGGCTGCAGCACACATCGGAGCTTGAACCCATAACGCATACACCATACTTCGCGCTGGCCGTATTGCTACTTCATATTTGCTTTGCTTGGGTAGTGAGAAGAACACCGGTTTGTTCCTTTCTCACCCACCCACCTCTTCCCATCTATGAATAATATTGATATCCTTGATTCAACACAGGTATCATAATTCATACAAGACGAAAATAAATAGGAGTGCTGGGCCAGCTATCTCCTCTCATCTGGCAATTATCACGGCCTTCGGCCATCACACTCATACTCCCACACTCCTGCCTCCTAACGGGCATTGCACTTCGTGCGTGGGCCGTCCACACTCCGTCCATTTCATGGGCGCCCATCTCATGGGCTGCACTTTGTGCGTGGACATACATACACACTATCATACAGGCCGCCCACACTCCGCCCAGTTCATGGGTGCCCATTTCATGGGCTGCACCTCGTGTGCGTGGGCCGTCCACACTCCGTCCATTTCATGGGCGCCCATCTCATGGGCTGCACTTTGTGCGTGGACATACATACACACTATCATACAGGCCGTCCACACTCCGCCCAGTTCATGGGTGCCCATTTCATGGGCTGCACCTCTCGCGTGGACTATCCTACATGATTATCACATGCCAGATTCGGTTGCCCAGCACTCCATGAATCCTCCATATGATGTGTGCTCTCCACTGGTCTGCAATAGCGAGTGCATGCGTGTTAACCCTATAAAAATAGGTTCTCGGTAACTTGTCAAGCCATTGTGTGGTTGTCCACCACCACCTCTGCTCAGGATGGAAACCCCTCGGAAGAAACCTCGTCAGTCTTTGGATGTGGTGAGATCATCTGATCTGTTGCAATTCTTTAGTTATTGTCCTGATCAAGAGTTTGCAGATGTACTAAAGTTTTTCTCTCATGTTCTACCGTCGCTGGAGCTGCTTCTTGAAGAGAATATTGAGCAATGGGGTCAGTACAAGTGTTCTTTGGTAGTTCAGGTGGTGATGCAGAAACTGAATCCTGCTACAGGACAAGTGGTTTCCAGCACATTCTTCTTCCGATCGAGTACAACGCTGGTGCTCAACACCACTGAGCTGAGGGACCTTCTCAGTACGATGGTAGCTCAGATCAACGCCCGTCGTGATGATTTCGTTCGTCATGGATCAGGTTGGGTAGTTGAACGGATTTCCTGTTTACACATCGAAATGTCACGCTACTGTGTACTTGGAGGAAGTTCGTACATCCCCTTGCCACCGGAGTTGAAGTCGAAGAAGGCCATTGTTAACGTGCAGAACACTGACAACAAGTGTTTACTGTAAGTATAGCAGTGGGGTTTCAGTGTGGTGATATGGTGTATGGATTGAACTGTATGCCGCCTGTCCATGTCTTATGTCATCCGTACTTTAGATGGTCAATACTGGCTGCTAAATTTTCGGTAGACAAGTCTCATCCATGTCGTCAATCGTCGTACGCAGAACATGTGGATACTGTGGATGTGAGCGGCATCGAGTTTCCAGCAAAACTGGAATACATAGCAGTCATCGAAAGACTGAACGACGGTCTTTACATCAACGTCTTCGGATATGAAGAGAAAGTCATATATCCGTTAAGAATTTCTCAGCAACCGCAGACCGCTATCAATGTTTTGTTCATTCAAGACGAACGCAATAACGTGGATGTCCAGCACTGGGTGTGGAAAAAGTCATTCAGTCGTCTTGTTGCTACCGGAGCACGTCGAGCACATTTCGTTTGCTTCAGCTGTCTCTCAACTCACGTCACGGAGAAGACATTGAACAATCATATGATGTACTGCAGCGAACATCCTGAAGCCACGGTGGAGATGCCAAAGGCTGGCGATAGAGTTATGTTCAAGAATGTGAACAAGCAGCTTCAAGCCCCATTTGTAAGTAGAACACTTGATCAGGGTGAATACACTGTGGTCTGTTTTCTTCTTTCCTGCACATGTTTCTTGACTCTGATTGATCTCCTTTCTGCTGTTTTACTCGGTGTTGTCTCTCAGTGCTGCTATTCCTAATTCTCTATCTGTCTTTTCTGCTGTTTTACTCGGTGTTGTCTCTGCTGCTATTCCTACTTCTCTCTCTCTCTCTCTCAAATGCAGTGATCTATGCCGATTGTGAGGCCTTCATAGAACCTCTGTCCGCTGTCAATAAAATCGGCCATTCGACATTCCAAAAGAACAAGCATGTAGCCTGTTCCTGTTCGTACATTGTAGTATGATCTGATGGCGTCGTCACGAACCGTTTCTTCTACCGTGGAGAAGATTCTATGTTCCGTTTTCTGCTGTCACTTGAGCAAGAGGAGGAGACTATCCGTGATGCGCTTCTAGCATGTAATGCTGGTCAAATGATCATTTCAGAAAGTCAGCAATGCTGGTCAAATGATCATTTCAGAAAGTCAGCAACGTGAGTTTGAAACGGTAGTCTCCTGTTGGATCTGTGGTGAAGCGTTGGGTAGCGATCGTGTACGTGACCACTGTCACATCACCGGTGCTTACCGTGGTGCAGCACACAACCATTGTAACCTGAACATGCGGATTGAGCCATTCAAGATCAAGATTCCTGTGTTCTTTCATAACTTGAAGGGATACGATTCTCATCACATCATATCTGCCATTGGGAGAACGTCCATTGATGAGAATTACGTATGAGAACGAGAAAGGACAAGAACGGGTACGTTACATATGCGTGTGTGTGTGTGTGTGTGTGTGTGTTTGTGTGTTTGTGTGTGTGCGTGTGCGTGGATCATGATGTTTTTCTAAGAAGGAAGATCATTACTATGTTGGTACTCATATTCACGTTTATATGATTGATATTCATCTTTACAGCTGCACCTTAAAACTGTGTCTCCTCTTTTCTTTCTTCTTCTCAGACCAAGCGTCTCGGTGCTATCAATGTGATTCCCATCAACAGTGAAAAATATGTCACATTCGGATGGAGACAGTTCCAGTTCATTGACAGCCTGGTATTCTTGAACACCTCCCTAGACCGGTTGGTTTCGGCTACACCACCAAATGCATTCACCCTTCTATCCGTACGATTTCCAGACGAGGATGAACGCAAACTGTTGACACGAAAGGGTGTCTACCCGTATGAATATATGGGGTCGTACGACCAATTCGAAGAAACGCGTCTACCACCCAAGGATGCATTCCACTCAACGCTAACGGACACGGTGAGTAGTTTGTATGGTACATGATTTGGGATTGGATTTGAAATCATATAATTCTGTATGTTTGTGTGTATGTGTGCGTGTCTAACAGACAGATAGTATATCTTTCTCTCTTTCTTTTCTTCGCATCTTACTAACATAAGTTCTTTGTCCTTTGGTGCACATTTTCTATTCTCTAGGATATAAGTGATGAAGGCTATGCCTATGCACAAACAGTATGGACTGCGTTTGACTGTGAAGATCTAGGTGACTATCACGATCTCTACCTGGAGACCGATGTGCTGCTGTTGGCTGACGTTTTCGAAAACTTCAGAAGAACTGCTCACACAAGCTATGGATTGGATCCTGCCAATTACCTCACCTTACCCGGATTTGCTTGGGATTCGCTGCTCAAAATGACGAAGGTGTCCCTTCATCTCATTTCCGACATGGCAAAAGAGGTGGTATAAGCATGGTGTCCGCTAGACACGCCACTGCCAACAACAGATATCTACCGGAGTACAATCCAGACGAGCCGACAAGCTTCATCCAATATTTAGATGCGAACAATCTATATGGATGGGCCATGTCTCAACCCTTACCCGTGTCGGACTTCTGTTTTGTAGCAGTGACGGACGACCTACTGGAGACGATACTCGACCATCCAATGGACTCCTCGACGGGATACATGGTGGAGTGTGATCTAAGGATTCCAGAGGGTGTGCATGACATGATGAATGAATATCCTTTAGCTCCAGAGCAGATGAAGGTGACACGAGATATGCTTTCTCCATATCAGACACACATGGCAGAGAAACTAAAGGTAAGTCATGGTCTATCTCATAGATAAGCTTGTATTACTCTTTTAACGTTTACGTGTGTATGTATATCTTTACTGTACTCTTGTAGGTGAGCGGTTTGGAAGCAAAGACACTGGTGCCAAATCTACTACCGAAAGAGCGCTATGTGCTGCACTACAGAAACTTGCAGCAGTATGTGTCCTTGGGTGTGGAGATTACAGATGTGCATCGTGTGCTCTCCTTCACACAACACCCATGGATGAAGCCATACATCGACACTAATACTCACCTGAGAAAGCTATCAACTTCTGATTTCGAGAAAGACTTCTATAAGGTGGGTACTCCACATCATGTGTGTGTGTGTGTGTGTGTGTGTGTGTGTGTGCGTGTGTGTGTGTGTGTGTGCGTGTGTGTGTGTGTGTGTGTGTGTGTGTGTACATGTGTGTAGTAGGTAACGAGCGGGTTCTGTGCCAGGGGGCGCCCTGCCCCAAAAATGGGGTATTATTGAAAATATGTATTATATACATGTGGTTACGAATCTCAGTTTTTTTCAGGGGCGGGGTTTTATTCCCTGCCCTACATCATGTTGCATTATGATGTCTAAAAATATCACCATTTCTAAATTCAATTTTATCTCACTTTTTCAATTTTATATTACTCAGAACTCATAGTTTTGCAGTATTTTGACTTATTATTAATGCAGCGAAACCGGTCGGGACATGGACCTACTCCACGCACTCTAAATAGTTCAACAAACTGCCATGCTGCCCTACCGTGA